AATCACCGTCCTCTCCTCCTCCGCCGAGAACTTCACCCCGCTGTAATTTCAAAACACGTTCATTTTCGCAGGGGGAAAAAACTAAAATCGAAAATGCAGGGGGGGGGGGGCAAAATTAATGAATTAATTACTTTTTCAAGTTGGGGCGGAGTTTGTTGACCCAGCGGAGGCGGCAGGACTTTCCGGTGCGGCGGAGAAGGCCGTTGGATCGAATGGAGCTCCAGTCACGGGGGCCATACTTGCTGACATGGTCGAGAAGAACCTGGTCTTCCTCTGCCTTCCACGGCCCTTTCTTTATCTCGTCCTCATCGTTCTCCTCTCCGTTGCTCCAAATTCTTCTTCTCTCCATTAATTTAATTTCTTCTCTGCAATTCAACAGAATTTGTCTTCTCCAGTCTCGCATTTGAAAACAAAAAAAAATATCAATACATATATCTATTACTGTAGGGAGTGGAGTATTTCGTTTTGAATTGTGACGGTTAAGGCCCTAATATTTAGCCCACATTCCCCATTTTCATTTTATTTGCTTTCTTATCCTTTTTTTTATAAATAATTTTAAAAATCAGTAAAAATTGGCGGCTTCTTGTTTTTGAGTCCTAACTTCGTTTACTCCTTTGTCTCCTTTGTCCTTGTTAAGAAATCTTTTTCTAGATGCTTAAATGATCTCAAGATTCATATTTAAATGTGCACTTTCTCATACTACCTCCGTCCCGTGAAACATTTCCCCTTTCTTTTTTTATTCGTCCCACAAAACACTTCCCATTTCTATTAAAAAGTCACTTTTACCCCTTACTTTTTCATACCCTAAATATCACATCATACCTTTTTACTAATAATCTATCCATCAAATCATACTTTTACCTATCACATCAAAGGACATTTTTGAAAATTCAATACCAAAATACACTCCCTTAAATCCCTCCTAAAAAGCAAATGTCCCATGTTTCACGGGACGGAGGTAGTATTTTTTATGGACATGCATGTAGATATTTTTTTCTGCAAAAAATATCACTTCTTTTATGCTAGGGTGCACTAAAATTCAAAAAATTAATGGATTTTAGGTGCACGGAGGAACTTGCCGTAAGACACAAATCTCTAAGAGCATCTCCAACCATTGAGTTTTGACTTGTTAAATGTCATTATTTGGCAATTCATTTCAATTTTTGTGCTACAAGGGGCTTGCTATATTATAAAACACTTGGTAAATTTTAACTTTGGCTTGTCATATATAACATGCCTCTCAAAATATAGCAATCATGATATTGATTAAATATTTGATTTCTTTCTTATTTTCTCTCGTTCTCCTTCTCAAAATATTTAGTTACTTCAACTCTCTAATTTTTTACTTTTTGTAAAGTTCTTTTCTCTACTCTTTAATTGGTACTTATTAAATATTTAAAAAAATGCTCTTTATATTTTATTATTTTCCCTAAAGTAAAATATTACTCCGTTTTGTTTTTCGAAATTATTATTTTTAAATTACATAATTATTACTTACAGAGTAATTTTTATAATATAAATAATAATTGAATAATTATTATAAGGAAAGTATTATAATAGTGAAAAAAATATAATATAATTGTTAGCTAAATTATAGCAAGGGAAAGTTGGAGATGACAATGTAAAATGGTTTACTATATCACTGTTCACATGCTAAAAAATAACTTTAGCAAGTCATGTTTAGCAAGTGTGGTTGGAGATGCTCTAAGAAAGTGACATGTAGCTTGTTTGTGTAGTCCTTTTTAACACCTAAATGTCATCTATTCTAGTTTATGACATGGAAAAAAATTATGAAAATTGAAATTTTGATAAGAAATGTTTGAGTAAATTAAAATATGGAAAATAAATGTTCCTCACTAAAATATGGAAAATTACCACGTACAACCACCCTCTAGTACACGTCTACACTTCTAAATGTCTAAATTACATTTTTATAGGGAGTACTAGTTTTTACCCCATGCTTCGTACGGGCTTGCATACTTTTATATAAATATATCTATAAAATTGTTACTATTTTCTATTTTAAAATTATTACTTTCCATTAATAGCTTTGAAAAAATTGTCACATTTGTGTCACAAAAATTATTATCTTTCAATAATAACTATCTAAAACGGTGAAAGTTAGTACGATAATATTTATGTGTAAAAATTTAGTTTTAATTAGTGTTTCTAATTGATATATTTATGATATAATATTAGTTGTTATTAATGCATCCCGGAGGCCGAATCAAGAAATTGGCTTGCGTACTAATTATTATATTCTTGTTTAAAAATTACATGTTGTATTCATAAATAATATATGATTTATATATATATATATATATATATATATATATATAACATTTAATGTGTACGATTCTATAACATTTAGTTCTATATAATTCTATAACATTTAATTACATATGATTCTATATCAATAGTACATTATTCTATGCATAAGAAAGTCATACAACATTTTTATTTTCCGCCAAAGTTCTCCTCTCTTATTTAAAATTTAATATGTAACCTTATTTTTTTCCAAAGGTTGGATATAATTTATTTTTCTATTTCAAATAAATATCAGCTATTTTTTTACATCGTTTTACAATCGTTTATTTTTTGGTAAGTCAAGTTGCTAGTGGATTTTTTCAATAGTGTAGAAGTATTTGAAAAACAATGTTAACCTCAAAGATGTTAAAACTTGAGGTGTGCATTTATGCTTTTTATCATTTATTTTCCTTTTAATATAAATAAGCCATGTACTATGCTATAAACATTACAATGGGGATCATATATAATTTTTTTGCCTTTTAATCTTCGTGGTATTAGCATGCATATCAAACATTTTTAAACCTTTTATTCATTAATAGCTTAAAGGCAATCAATTTAATCAGCATCAACTTCTTATATCAATTTAATCAGCATTTTTGTATTTTTTAGTGTAGTCAAATTTTTAGTGAGTTTTATTTTTTCATTCTAATATTTATAAGACATTTGTTATACAATAAAAATGCATTGTTTATCAATTTATAATATTTCATCTTTTAATATATGCATTATATATTTTATTTTTTAAGAAATATTTAAAAATTGAGGAAACATTATTTTGTTTTTAGGAAAATAGTATTTGAATATCATTTATTCATCTCTTTCAAATAATTTTCACCTACATACTTCTTTTTGTTTTTAATATGAATTTAATGTTTGTTTATTTTTTTGCAAACTCGAATTGCTAGTGATTTTTTCAAGGGTACAAATGTTAGAGTGTCATCCCACATCGGAAGTTCAAGAGCAAAAGAATCGGTATATAAGCTCTTGAGTTGAACTAACTAATCGATTGGATTCAATCTTTTAATGTGGTTCAACCCAAATGTCTTATTGCCCAATCCAGTTGTCCATACCCATCCTAAATTCTATCATGGTATCAGAGCAAATTTTGGCCCACCTCGTTTGTCAAGTTGTCCGTCTAGACGTTCATTCCTAGCGGCCCGTTAGTCTTTAGCCCAGTTGTCCGTATGGAGTATGTACCCAACGGCCTGTGGCCCGTTTAACACGATTGCTCGTCTGGAAGTCTATACCCAGCGGCTCGTGGTCCTTTAGGTGTTGGCGCTCAAAAAAACAAAAATAATAATCAAGGGAATGAGAGTTTATTTGCAAGTGGTCAACCGGTTATATTCAAAATGGGCCGGTTGTCCACTTGAGGGGGAGTGTTAGAGTGTCATCCCACATCGGAAGTTCAAGAGCAAAAGAATCGGTATATAAGCTCTTGAGTTGAACTAACTAATCGATTGGATTCAATCTTTTAATGTGGTTCAACCCAAGTGTCTTATTGCCCAATCCAATTGTCCATACCCATCCTAAATTCTATCAACAAAAGTATGTAATAATTAATGTTAAGTTCTCTATCTTTTAACAATAAATAACTTATATACAGAGTAATTTTCAAATTCTATGTATTTTTTTTTTAAATAAAGTGTGTATCATATAAAAATATAATACTTGATTTTTAACAAAGAATATAACAATTAGTATTTAAGAACATTTTATGCACGTAACATATTTATAACAATCAATACCATAAATTCTTTTAATCAATTTTGCAAAAGAAGAAACAGAGAAAATCTGATCTTGCGCGAAGAAGTAAAGGTCATCCCTAAAAAAAATAGCCTTAAAGGTAATGCATAAAAAAATACATAGAAGTCAATGATGACATGGCTCTTCAGGTGTTTAAAAAATATTCAGTCAGCATGCCAAATGTCATCATTCTAGAAGCTCAACTCCCAAATTATATACTCCCTCCGTCCCGTGAAACATAGGACATTTGCTTTTTAAGAGGGATTTAAGGGAGTGTATTTTGGTATTGAATTTCCAAAAATGTCCTTTGATGTGATGAGTAAAAGTATGATTTGATGGATAGATTATTAGTAAAAAGGTATGATGTGATAGTTAGGATATGAAAAAGTAAGGGGTAAAAGTGACTTTTTAATAGAAATGAGAAGTATTTTGTGGGACGGATAAAAAAAGAAAGGGGAAAGGTTTCACGGGACGGAGGGAGTATATAAAGATTAAATTCAGTCAATGATGTTGAAATTGTAAAGAAAGTTAGCTTGAACATAGCATTTCATGGTGACACACTTTTTTGATCAATTTTATTATAAAATAGAAGACAATTAAACATAATATATTTTTTAATTTATATAATAAATCATCTAAGGACTATAAACAAAATTTCTCAAGTGATAAATCAAATCAGAAAAAATGTATTCTAACTATGGAGTTATGTATAATATATTTTTCTAATTTAACACAATTATAGTTGTTTTAAAATTTTTAATGTAATTTTTAAGGAAAATATACCTTAATGTAGTTTTAAAATTAATTAAAAGTGTAATTATAAATGAAGAGAGTAAAAAATATTAAATTGGGAAAGAATACTTTTATAAAAAAATGAATTTTCCTATTTCATAATTAAATTTATTCAAAGATTTCATACCATAAAAATAATTTCACATTTTATACTTCCTAAATTAGGTGGAATATTAGGTGTCAAAACAAATGCAATTTTTTTATAGGTGACGAAATATTTTTATTCATCAGGTGTTAATATTTAAATAAATATTATCAAACTAACTTCATTTATTTAGATGTATCATAAAGAAATATAAAATTTCTTTATAGGTGAAGAGAGAATATTTTTTATTTTTAAAATGTTTTTTTATAAATAAATAGAAAAAAAGTATAAAATTAAGACAACATATTATCATAAAAAGAAAGACTTTTTTTCCATTAATAAGTTTACTCAAATATTTCTTATCCAACTTTTAATTTCATAAGAAAAATGAGGTGGCGTGTGAAGTGTTAAAAAAAGGCCACATAAGCATGCCACATGTCAAGTTCTTAGAGACCCAACTCTTCCTTTTTATATACTCCCTCCGTTCCAAATTATTTGTCACATTTCTATTACCGAGACAAAATATCAAGTTTTTTCAATTCATTTTATTTACATATTGGTAAAGAAATAAAAAATAAAAATTACATATCAAAAAACTATATGAAAAGTTCTTCGAAATAAGAGGTGTCAAGAATATTTTATTTTATCAAATAACTAATGAAAACGTAGAAATAAATAAAAGTTTCCGCGACGGTTGAAAAAGCAAATGTGGCAAATAATTTGGGACAGAGGGAGTATAAAAGATAAAAGATATTATAGAATAGGATATATGATAGGATAGGATATGATATGATTTTATTTAATATTTTCAATGTCTCAAGAAGTCTTTTATCTTTATTTTGTGTCAAACAATATTCTTCATTTTTCTATTAAAAATTTACTTTTACCCTAATAAATTTTTACCCTACCTATGATATACTCCGTAATATTTTTGAAAATTAAGGGGGCAAAAATATTCACTTTATGAAAGCTCGAGGTGAATGATGCAAAAAATTCTTTACAAAAATGCCACCGTAATTTTTTAAATTTTTTCCTGATTTTTGTATTTTTAATAGTACTTAAATCTTAATCCAAAAGATCATATGCACTTCTCTCATTGATACTTATATCATCTGCGTGATGGGATTATACCTACAGTGCTAGCAAGATATTGAGTCTGGTCCAGTAACATAAGTGCATTTAAAAAATCTAACTCTAGGTCTCTATTCTACTATAAATAGGATTCAAGCCATTGGGAAAAGGGAATCTCCATCTACAATCTACATACACATGTATGATTCGTAATCACTAATAAAACATCATCTTCTCTGATTAGTAATAAAACATCATCTTGGCATTGTACCGCCTAAAAAATCTATAATTTTCTTCCGATTTAAGTTTCGATGTAAACATTGTGTGCGGATCATATTTGTCATATTATGATTCGATATTATTTGGTATGTATTTCATATACCTCAGTGGATTAAAATTCTTTCATTGATGCTCTTGTTGAGAGGAAAGATTTTATACTCATAAGAATTTTTTATTAGACATTCAAAAAGTTTACGAAAAGTATTAGAAAATAAAAAAATTTATGGTTAGAATTTTTTTAAGAGAAATTGTTATTCACACTCATTCAAATTCTTTAGATGAAAGTAAATTTTTTAATTGTACCCTTAGCTATCCTCTTTTTTGGAAAAATCTCATCTTTAAGCTTAGCTTAGTTATTCTCTTTTCGAAAAACTCTCATATTTAAGCTTAGGTTAGGAGTAATGCCCCACGGAACACCGCCCCCTCCCCGTGTGAGTCGCCGCATGAGTGAGGACCGTGGCCACGACCACGCCGATGTTCTGCGTTTTTTTGTTTCACCCTCCCCAACGGTTGGTTCTATTAAAAAAATATTTTTAAAATTCAAATTTCTAATTTCAAACCCCCTCCATTCTCTTCTCTCTTCTATTTAAATCATGAGTAAATTACATAAAAGGTCCCTAGCTAGTTATAGGTTGTTTTACATATTTAGTCCCTACATATCAAATATCAATAATTTAGTCTCCAATTATTATATTGTTTTCTACAAATAGTTCTTTGTTAAAATTTTTGTTAAGAACATAGATAAAATTGTATATTCAGACTCATCTCTATTCAATTAAGCTTCCTACCTCCTTTCGTACTCATTCTCAAATTTGTCGCTGAGTTTGAAGCTCTAAAACCAAAATCGAAATGATCATTCCTCTTTCAATTGTTCATCTTCTCGGTGGAACCCAAAATTAAAACCAATAATCTTCATAGATAAATTTTATGGGTTAGTCTCGGGAAATTGCAAAGAAAACAAATCTTAAAACTCATTTATGAAGGTTACTTATTTCGATTTTGGATTCCACCAGGAAGAGGAACAATTGAGAAAAGATGGATGATTTCGGTTTTAGGTTCAAAGTTTTAAACTCAGCGACGGGTTTGGAAAAGGAGTGCGAGAGGAGATATGAAGCTTAATTGAAGAGAGAGAGAAGCGTGAATTTACAATTTTATCCACGTTTTTTTACGAAAATGTTAGCAAAGGACCATTCGTGAAAAACAATATAATAATTGAGGACTAAATTATTGATATTTGATATATAGGAACTAAATATATAAAACAAAACTATTACTGGAGACTTTTTATGTAATTTACTCTTAAATCATCTAACCTTTATAAATTTTTTAACACATTTCTTCCTTATTCCTTTATCTCTTTTCTCTCTTTTATAATACTCAAAATCAAAATTCAAATTAGTGTTACATGTATTGTTTTTTTCATGTACTTCATCTTTTAATAATTTCGTGTACTTTTTGTTTAATTCATGTAATCTATGAATTTTTAGAGTAATTGGTTTTTTTGTACATTTAATTGTTATAATAAAAAAACGAATTAAAAATCAAACGAAAACCGAAATAAAATTTAATACCCCGAGTATAAATGGGTACTCATCGCGCAAGCCGAATATTTTACATGATTTTTTGTTAGTTTACTATTAGCTGCTAAATTTTATTGGTTTGTTCCATTACAGTCCCAGATTCGCAGGCCCAAAAAGTCACCCATATTGCTGTTTAGAATCTCAAATTGCTCTTTCTATTGCAATTACATTTAACTCAACTAAAAAGTCTTAAAACCAATTTTAATTCGTAGTAGTGGTTCTCCAAAAGGCTCTGGAAGTGGGACTGAGAAAGTTGCTCCAACAATTTGATATCTGGTGCTGGAATGAACACTGAGAGAGTAAAGAAAAAATTGGGGAAGTATGATCTTGGCAGAACCATTGGAGAAGGGGCTTTTGCCAAAGTTAAGTTTGCAGAAAACACAGAGACGGGTGAAAATGTTGCAATCAAAATTTTGGCCAAGAACACTGTTCTTGAGCACAAAATGGTTGAGCAGGTTGGTAATATTATACTCTTGTAGTTTTGCAGCTCTTAAGCCTCTGTATGCCTCTCTGATAAGCCTTCGATTCTTTTTCGAATTATGGTTCCAAATATCCCTTCCAAATATGGGTTTTTGTTTCGTTTTATTAGTTTGTTCTTGGCCTCTGTGTGCTTTTTGCTATCTCTGCTGTATATGTCCTTTGTGATCTTATGTTGTTTCGAGTCTATGTTGTTTGAGCCGAAAGTCTCTTGGAGACAGCCTCTCTACTGTTGAGTAGAGGCAAGGTCTGCGTAAAGGCACCCTCCCCAGACCCTAAATTCTCGTGGGATCCAACTGGATTGTAGTTGTTGTATTAAGTACGTTATGAATTACTGGTCAGGAAATGTGTGTTTGTTAAAATGGGGAATTTAATTTCAAATGTGATTATTCGGACTCCACTGCTTACATCTTGAGGTGATTCTTAGATCAAACGAGAGATATCTATAATGAAGATTGTCAGGCATCCTAGCATTCTTCAGCTCCATGAGGTAAACTATAGTTTTAGGTCATATATCAAAGTTGCTCCTAATAGTGGATGCCGTCCTGCTTTGACTGGCCTGGCTCCCCTGACTCCCTGAGTGCCTGGGCGTGTCCTTTGTCCACAGAGAGTTACTATTGGCAGCATTACTTTGCTTTACCTTATGTGGGTTTGTATGTTTTCAGTCCTTGTTCATTCACTTTGATCTGTCTTATGGTTTAGGTTTTATCAAGCCAGACAAAAATATATTTTGTTTCTGAATTCGCATCGGGAGGAACACTCTATGACAAAATTGTAAGGATACTCCAGCACATTCTTGTGACAGTTTTTACTTGAAGTTTTTTAGAGTGATAAAATTGTTGTCTCCATGTCACAGCAATTAGTTTTCTGAACTTAGCGTAGTATATGGAATGTTGAGACTGATTATATCTTAATGTAGTTTTTTTTATGTTTGCCGAAGTTTGTTGAGAATCTTTTCTGATTTGATCTTTCACTTGAAGCGACTTCATCATTAATAGCTTTTTATTTTGTACTCATTCCATCCCATAAAAAGAGTTGAGTTTCTTCACATGTTCTTGTCCCAATAAAAGATTCATTTTAAAGAAAACAGTCTAATTTCCATGCTTTATAATGGTTGTAATATACTCAAAATTAAAATGTTGTATCTTGATGAAACCAGACTCCTTTTATGGGACGGAGGGAGTACTTCAGCAAAAAAAAAAAAAGTAGAGAAGGGCATCTGGTGTGCAACTTTGCCACCCTTCTTTTTTCCTTAACTATTGCAACGATTAATCCACACATTAATTTCATGTCACCAGCTCAAACGGGTAGGTAATAAGGTGCTGATGGTGACTAGTTAAACTGTTATGGTGCATAATTCTATAGTTTGGTTACAAAATCATTCATCAAATTACATTTGTTGTTGAGTCATGATAACTTTGTTTTCTATGGCACTCTGCTACCAATTTGCTCAAGAAAATCTGTTAATACATCCTTTATTATATTTTGCATGAATTGAAGGTTCATAACAACAGGCTTAATGAAGATGAGGCAAGACGCTACTTCCAACAACTTATAGATGCAATTGCACATTGCCATAGTAAGGGTGTATGCCACCGGGACCTTAAGGTGAAAAGCAATTTTTACATGGTGTCTACAATCTATATTGAAGATTAGATATTTATTGGTTTACACCCAATTGGTTTTTCTTTTCTTTGATTAATAGCCAGAGAATCTGCTACTTGATTCCATTGGGAACTTGAAAGTGTCTGATTTTGGATTGGATGCATTATCTCATCATGTAATGGTTCACATTGACTGTAACTCCCCATCCCCAACACCTTATCATTTTCCCATCATTGATTTGCGACACTAGAGGTGTAACCTTTACTCAACTTCAGGGAGTTAAACTTCTTCATACAACTTGCGGAACTCCAAACTTTGTTGCTCCTGAGGTACTTCACTTTCGCTTTAACATTAGAACTTAGAAGAACTGTACCTATTTTATAGGGTGCTCAAGATCATAAGAGAGGCAAGCCTTTTTTTTAGTTATGGTCCTTCCATTACATCGTAATATGTTGTTTTGTGAAATGTTCAGTGGCCCCTTAATTTTTTTAAAATGGTCCTACAAATTATTACAAATAGGAAAGTTTCACTGGAAACTAGTAAAATCAATTGAAGTATGTATTTATGAACAATCCATATGATTATCAAAAATTAATTTCTCTTCAAGTGTAAATTCATAGGACCAACTGGCTTTGGTGCGACAAATATAGTACATACTCCCTCCGTCCCATAAAATTCCTGTTTGACCTAATGGAACTTAAGAAAACTAGAGGGTAAAAATGTGTGGTAGGAATTTATTTAGAAAGAGAATTGTTGGTAGCCACACATGCATTACCAAAATAGGGAATAAAGTAAGTGTACAGTTATTTATTGAGACGTCTAAAAAAAGGAAAGTGTAAAGAATTATATGGGATAGAGGGAGTATTACATTGGCTATTTGCTTGTTATTTAATGTGCATATACTAAAGTGATAGTATGAGTTCTAATGTTTTTTCACCTTTGCCTCTTACATATTCATTGACTTTGATGGGTATATTGGGCCGAGTGATGAATACTAATGTAATTAGCCCAATATATTTATCTGGGTGGGTGAGCCCAGTGCTGGTGCCTAGATCCAAGGACAACCCGTGAGCCGATTTGTGGGTAAACCTGCCTGGGCCCTGAGGTGTGCGTGATGGGCTAGAGCCTTGTAGCTAGGGTTAGTTGATTGGGAAGAGGTTTATCTAGTTTTCTAAGTAGAAGCCTAGTAGATTTAGGAAGCTTAGGAGGCTATAAATACCCTTAGGTAGTGTTTGGCAACTAGCATTTCATTTCAATTCATGCATTTCAATTCCAAAATTTGAAATCCTGAATTTCAAATGACAAGGGGAGGTGCATGGATTTCAAATTAAGCTTTGTTTTGAATGTAAAGAATTTGATTCAAATCCAAATTTAAAATGCTTAAGTTTTCCAAACATGGAATTTAAGCCAAATCCGGATTTGAAATCCAAATCCATGTTCCCAAACATACCATTAAGGGATTTGAATAGAGCAAGTCTTNGAAGCTTAGGAGGCTATAAATACCCTTAGGTAGTGTTTGGCAACTAGCATTTCATTTCAATTCATGCATTTCAATTCCAAAATTTGAAATCCTGAATTTCAAATGACAAGGGGAGGTGCATGGATTTCAAATTAAGCTTTGTTTTGAATGTAAAGAATTTGATTCAAATCCAAATTTAAAATGCTTAAGTTTTCCAAACATGGAATTTAAGCCAAATCCGGATTTGAAATCCAAATCCATGTTCCCAAACATACCATTAAGGGATTTGAATAGAGCAAGTCTTTCATACCATTCCTGAGTTCAATATTCTTGTCTCTTTATTTATTCTTATTTTCATAATTTATCAAGAGAGATCATGGGATCATATTCGGTGGAATCAAAGTTCCATCATATTCAGATTAAAGCATTCCCAGTATATGATTTATGTTAGGATACAATACCAACCTAATGCCTACAGGTGCTAGGTGACCACAGCTATGATGGAGCTGCTGCTGATGTATGGTCATGTGGAGTCATTCTTTACTTTTTAATGGCTGGATATCTACCCTTTGAAGGGGTAGACCTCCTAACGTTGCATCAAAAGGTCAGATTCTGTTTTTTCTGCTATAAATTGGGTAGATTTATCCTTCTAACATGCTTAAAATATACTATGTTCTAAAAATTTTGGCCTTTGCATCAGATAAATGCAGCAGAATATGTCTGTCCATTTTGGTTTACTCCTGGTGCAATATCACTGATACAGAAAATACTTGACCCCAACCCTGAAAATGTACGTGCCCATATAATCCATTTCATAGGGCTTCTTAAAGACTCCGCAATAGAATAAAACTCTTCATGGCTGTGCAAAATTTTCATCTCAAATAATTGAAGGATGTTAAAACAAGCACACTGAAAGTTAATGGTTTGGCTTCATATGCCGTAGTGATTGGAGTGTAATGATGGTGTTTACAGCGCATTAAAATCGAAGGGATCAGAAAAGATCCGTGGTTCCAGAAGAATTATATGCCTATCCAAGGTAGAAAAGGAGAGAATTTGGGTAGTGTCTATGCTGGTTTTTACAACATCAAGGTTAGTAGATGTCTTCCATGACTCCTTTCTATGTTAATATCTATAGACATTCTGCATGGATTATTTATAATCGGGGTCCATAGGCCTTAGAGGGGCTGAATAAGGCATTTTAAAGATTTGTCAGACTTTTAAAGTTTATTTGTGCCTACGGTGCAACTTATATGAAATATGCCTTTAAATAAAATGTGGTAGTATTAAACACGATAAATAAAAACGAAAAACCATTCGAGGCCATAACATTTGGCCACTTGAGCGTTGAAAAACAAGTATCGTTGGCACTTCTAAGTACTGTTTGTACTACTGTTCCTGGCCAAAACTTGCTCAGAACAAGATTTTTTCCGACACATTTCTTTTAAGTTTTAAACCTTTTGGTAGAAGAAAAAGACGCAAATGATGGGTTTTAAAGCTGGTGTATCGTGCGCATTGAGCTCGTGAATATAAGCATATAAAATCATATTCGATACATGAGTTCTACTTATATTCTATGCTAGTTTTGGCGACATTGTTCTTGAGAACTAATACGTTTAGAGGATTTGGGTCGTAGTTGACATGCTAGAACAAATGTTAGCTCTTATATGAATATATTGTTAGTTTAAATCAACACAAAATGGTTTGACAAACCAAGGCTAACAATGCTCCCTTTTTTAAGTTGACAGTGAGTTGTGCGGGAGTAAGCTCCCCCTAAATTAAAGCACATTTATAGAAGTCTCACACTGAGGTTTTCCTTGTATTTATGAAAAGTGTAATTTTCAATGTAGTAACAATATGAAGAGGGGATAGTTGATTGCATCATTTTTGAGCTGCGGATTTGATTCACTTTATTCAACTCATTTGGTTCAAAGAATGAGAGTAGGCTTCCTTAAGTCTGTTGTTGTAGCTCTGTTAACTGATTGGTCATAGGTTGAAATTTTAATTTTGGGAGTGATTTGGTGAGGGAAGGCTAAGATGGCGCCTTGTTGGTCTTTATTTTAGTCCTTAATTCCTTCACATTTATAGCCTCTTTTGGTTACCATTTGTGTCAATTTAATTAGATTCCCAACCAACTGTGGTATTTGACCATTTTGGGGTGTGCACAATATTTTAAGACATTTTTGGGGTTAGTTTGGTTTAATTTTATGTTGGGCCCAGTGTAGCGGTAGAGATTCCTTCTGGCGGTGGTAGAATTCTTAATCGTAAGATTAATTGCAGCGGCCACAATCCAAAAAAAAAAACTAGAAAATCCAAAGTTATTGGTATTCACGGAGTATTTGGCTACTGCAAATTTTGTTTTCCCAACCAATCCCACTAACACAGTTCCCAGGTTGCTACAGAAAAAAAAACTTCCTCCACAAACAAAATTTCTTTGGGTTTTGTTAGTTGGAGTTCAGTTCAATTAAAGCACTAATTGATATGAATATCATATCGGATAGGAAAGAACTTCGAAAGGGGAGGCAAAGAGAGAAAGAAAACTTCGAGCGTTTCCAGACTCCGGGAGAAATAGAGATAGAGAAGTAGAGAACTTTAGGGTTTATTTCTCATGAAGAAGATGAGAGGTTACATCTCTATTTATAGGCTATAGAGAGAATTCCTAATTCTAACAATAGTCTAATTCCTACTTCCTAGCCCAATCATAACTCTAACTACAACAATTGATAAATAAATATAACTAATACACTATTAAATATTATAATATCACATCCGTGACACTAAGTGTCATCTAACCTAACCTCATGCTCCTCTCTACTTCCTAACAAACGTTCAGGAAGTACTTTTTCCTAAGGACTACAAAACTAACGTTTTCTTTGGGAGGAGAAAAAGGTTGGGCAGGTAACTTGTTAACTTGATCTTGCAAGCCTGGGCACTTTGTCTTTCTTGCAGATTTTTCAGATTTTGATCAAACTGAAAACTTATCCTCCATTTTTTTCAAAACCGCTTCTAAAAGTTGGTGAGTTTTATAGTAGTGTAATAGTTAAAGGGAATGATAAAGCTAATAATATGACATTGAACTGTGCAGGATGATGTTGTAACGGAGCAGTCTGATAAAACTAGCAATGGCCCTTATATGATGAATGCATTTGAAATGATTACTTTATCTCAAGGGTTGAACCTGTCACCCTTGTTTGATAGGCGCAAGGTACAGTGACAAACCCCGTGTTGGTGTCAACTATCTTCTCTTCCTTTTCACTCTTTTTTAGCTAGGATGGTTGTCCCTTATTTGCTTCATGCCAATGTTACCTCCAAGAATAAAGGAGGCCTTAATGTATGTGTTAAAATCTCATGTAGTCCCAACTCTTTGCCCAGGATTTTGTCAAACGGCAAACCCGTTTTGTATCACGTGAGCCTGCCAAAGATATCATCTCTACCATTGAAGCAGGTGCAGAATCAATGGGATTAAAGGTCTATACACGTAATTACAAGGTAATGTTATTTGTACACCAATAGACGCACATCTATTTTGTCTATACGTGCAAGCGACAAGATTTGCATGTGTAAACAAGCAAACAAAATTGTCTGCGCATGTTGGTGTATATCTGCACAAAACGTTTTTGCCTTATACTTAACATGCTCCAAATGTTCTCTGCACGTATACGATTCGGTAAATTAAACACTAGAAAAGGGGAAAAGAAGAATTTTTTTTATGTCAAGCAGTTATATTGACGGTTCGCTTTTGTCAACAGATCTCTTCAAAGAGACAAACTAAGACGAAATTTATGTCGTTTTCTTTGAAAAAATAATTTCTCAAACATGGTTGTGTAATTTATTTTTATGTCAATACTTCAACAGACTCGGATCGAAGGCGTGTCTTCCAACAATGGGGCAAACTTTGCTGTTGCGTTGGAGGTATCAATTTGTGTACTTCAATATGCACTTTGCATGTAATGGCACCTTTACTAATATATGCTCACTTCGTAATATCTCTTCATTACTCTAAAAAAAGGTCTTCCAAGTTGCCCCATCCCTTTGCTTGGTGGATGTCCGAAAGGCAGCTGGGGACACACTTGAATATCACAAGGTTAGCTTGCTTCGCTTTTACTCATTAACCATAATCCCGAAGACATTTCTTGTTAAAGACAACTGGCGCTATATATGCTCTACATAAATCATGAATTTGCATTCCCAGTTCTACAAGAGCTTCTGCGAAAGAATTGACCGTGTTATTTGGAAATCAAAGGAGGGGATGACAAGTGCTGCTGCACTGTGAACATGGCACTCTCTGTCTGAGGCGCGAAGTGAATCAATTCATGTTGCAATACGACCGAATCCTACCCGTCCCTCCTTGCACATAAAATGACAACTTTATGTTCCCCATGTAGCAATAAAACTGAAATCAGACAGTGTTTTTTAATCATATATATATGTATGTACATAATGATTTCCAAATTTAATGAGTCCAAACTTAATAATATTTATATGAAGGGCTTCTTCCTGGACCTCCTAATATGTAAATTTCAAGGCCAACCATCCTCTTAGGAGGTTCCTGATTTGAGCCTCTACCGGAGATCCTCAATTATCTAGTGCATCATCAATTTACAAGTTCACTCAGCAATTTTATTTGTAGGACCCCTAGTGTCTTTACCTTGAAATCATTCCACACATTCCATAGAGTCACATTGGATTGACAATTTGCGAAGGCCTTAATTTCACGCCCAAATGAGGCCTTTCAAACTGCCCGGCATTCAGTAATGGTAGGGTGAGTCGTGGTATGAGAGCACACGAAACCTCCTATCTAGTTCTCCTCATGCCCTCTTAATACTTCTCCACATCTTGTACCATTAGCACCTACACTCACATCCACATTTAAACATATCATGTCAACTTTCGGTTTAATAATCCATTTTACCTCAGCTGCCAACTCCTCGTCTAACGGCTTCTACCTCAATGACGTTTTGGATCTGGAATGCTCTCACCATCTCCATCTTTTGAGACAAAATCCAGTTGACTCTACTTTCATCATCATGTTCAACATTGCTGAATACATAATCGTTCCTCCATCACCAAGCGCACCATGATGTGATCGCAGAAATCATCAGCCACTCCAACCCATGTGACGTAAATTTCCCTGCAATTTGAACATCCATCCATTATGGAAGTCTAGCGTTTCCAAGCTCTTCATTGTCCTTCTTCCTGGCATCTTGCTCCATATTTGTGTGTTTTGGACATTCACAGAGGATGCGTGCCACAGTTTTGGTCGTATATGCAAAATGGACAACTATCCTCAACAGCAATATGCCTCCTACAGCGTTTTGCATTGCATGCTAGTATTTTGTGTCGCGGCAATCAAAGGAATGCCCTCACTCTATTTGGCACCTTAAGACTCCAAATTTTAGTCCTACCAATATCCTGCATAGCAAGGCCGTCTATATTAGTGAAAGCATAAGCTGAGGAAACAGAGAACTTACATGTCGCATTAGGTTGTCAACAAGTTTCGTCTTCATTATTTGAGCATGCACTTTGCTAGTTTTCTTCTTGCATCATCTGGTAAGATGTTATCAAGTAGGTCCCAATTCCAGCACTCTCCTAGTATCCATGGTGCCGCCAACAAGCTATTGCATATGCGTCGAAACAATATCCTTCAAAGGATTCTTATATATCAATCTACCTGTCAAGCCAAAACCTTGTATTTTATCCATTACCAACCCTCATGTTAACCCTTAACATATTTAGCCTTAACAATTCCCTTCCAGACGTTGGATGCCTAATCCTTCGGTTTAATGACATGTCTAGTTTGTCCTTCGTTTCACTTCTCCA